TCATTTAAGTGTCTGACCCTTGATGTCAGCTCAGGTCATGATCTCAGGGTCCTACAGTCCTGGGATGGATCCCCACATCAGGCTCTGCACTGCTTAAGGATTTTCTCTCTCCCTCTCCCTCTGCCCCCAAACCCCGCTTGAGTTCTCCCTCTCTCTCCCTCTGAAATAAATAAATAAATCTTTTAAAAAATCAAATAAAAAAGGCTGAGTTCAGGGTGAGCCTGTGGAGATAAAGTTATGTTGGAGGAACACTGTGAAGTGAGCTAAAGCAAGGAGGCCCAAGATACATCCCACAATGTCAGAGGCAATGAGTAGACCATGGTTGACCCATGTGGCTGGTATATATGAACCTGTGGGAAAGTAAAAGGGATAGTTCTGGAAAAATTAGTTCAAGTGGAAGATTTTATCCTACAAGCACTGAGGAATGTGGTAGAGTTTGCTAACTGACACCTATACCAATTTCTTCTCCTTCTATCGTCATAGAACTTCCTAGTTCAATTGGATACATGGGTTTCTGGAACAAAACTATCCCCTCTCTCCTTTAGAGCTGTGAGATGTGAATGGGCGTGATGTGTGTTTCTGTGTGTGCCTGTAAAGGAAAGAAGCATGTTTCTTCCCATTCCACTTTCCCCTTTCTTCAGCCTGTATGTGTAAGTAGAGTGTGCCTTGTGGGACCACGTGAACCAGGGAAATGTCTTAGCACAGCCCAGCAGCAGGAGAGAAGGCCTTGACTCCTTGGGCTACTCACGCATGTATGTTTTATGACTCATAAACTCACTTCTATTTTGTTTCAGACACTGTATTGCAGCCACACCTGGGCGCTGAGTTATTGCTTCCATGTAATGGACACTTAGTTGGACAAGACCTAGGATAGTCAGTCATTTCTGACCTTCATTTAGCCCAAAAGGCCACATAAATGACACATACACGAATGAGCTAGAAAGCTCTGTCTTAATTCAAACAAAAAACTTCTGGAAGTGTTGAGTAAGGAAGTGATATGATAGGAATTGTGTTTTATAAGAAATGAGTGACATAGCAAGTCAGTGTTGCCTGGGGCTAGGAATAGGGATTGTTGAGTTTTACAGCAAAGTCATGAGGTGCAACTTTTTTGAAATAATGAGATGTTCTATACCTCAGTTGTGGTTGTAGTTATAGGCATGTATATATTTGCAAAACTAGTACTTAAAACATGTGAGATATAGATATCTCACCTAGATAAAGTTGATTAAAGAAATTAATTTGGGGGCACCTGGTTGGTTCAGTCTGTTAAGAATCTGCCTCTTGATTTTGGCTCAGGTCATGATCTCAGGGTCATGAGATCAAGCCCCACATTGGGCTCCCTACTCAGCGTGGAGTCTGTTTGAGATTCTCTCCCTCCTGCTCCCTCGGTCCCTCTCCCTGCTCTTTCTTTCTCTCTAAAGTAAATAAGTAAATAAAATCTTTTTTAAAAAAAGAAATGAATTTGGCTGTGTATGCATGTAAGATAGATCAATGGGAGGAGACAAGAGGTGGGAGAAAAGAGAAGCATATGGCTTCAATCAAAGTTTTAGATAGTTTGGACTTGTTCTGGGAAATAGTGGGAAAAATGAAATTAGAGAAAAATACTCATTTTGAAGAAGGAAGTACCAGAATTCGGAGACGCATTGGGCCTGAGATGCTGATTGACCTGGAGGAGGATTCAGCTTTCTATGGAAGGCAATGGCTGAGTTCTACCGCAGGCTGATGGAGATGCCATGTCCCAACGTGGTGAGGGGGAAAGGTTAGAGCACTACCACTCACTAGTAAAAACCATTTCCTCCATCTCTCTGAGTCCCTCTTCTTCTTCATTTGTAAAATGAGGATCACGATGCCTGTAGACTGCAAAAAAGTTGTAGAGAGCTGAGAAAAATCTGTGTAATATACCTAACACCCTGGGGCCTGGCCCTTGGTAGGCACCATGAATGCATAAGATGAAAAATGATCGCAATAACGTATTCTAAGAGAAAATAAATGGTTTTCAAGATGGTCACGACTGGCTTTCCCATACATGCTTGTAAGAGATGCTTGAAGAAGAGGAAAAAGAACCCGGTTAACAGGAAAGATGACTCCACTTGTAAATCACAGGGCGATCATTGGAAGTGAGGTTGGATAAGCAACATAGCACTTGGCAGTAATTTTTTTTTTAAAGGGCGGCTCCTTTTGCCACAGAAGATTCCGTGGTATGTTCATTTCTCTTTTCTTTACCTCGCTTGAAGCATTCTCAGGAGTGGGAGTTCAGACAAAAGGAAGCTCTTGTAGCATCACACTTAAGATTCTTCTCGTATTAGATTTGGTTCTCTGCCCATTTTCTGTCAGGCTTTCTGAGATCAGAAAGAAATGCATACCAATTCTCAGGCTCGACAGTGAACTCTCTGGGCTCCAGACTGGAATTTACAGCTGCCTGAAGACATCTCCATCTGCAGGTCTTGTAGGCATGTCCGACTCAGTATGTCCCAAACAAATTAATTACCCTCCCACACACCCGCTCCTCCTCCAGTCTTCTATCTAGGTTAATGCCACTGCCAATGCACTAGCTACAAAATTCAGAAATTTCAGGTCTTTTACTCCTCATTCCGTACTCAATCTGATGCCAATTTTTGTGGAGTCACCCTGCTGTAATCTAATGCATGCATTGCATATTTTATTTTATTTTATTTTTTTTACTTCCATTGCCCTGCTAAGGATCCTTCTCTCTCCAGGACCACAGTGGCAGCAATCTAGTCAGCCCTCTGCCAGAGTCTGGAGTGTTCTAGAATCTGGAGTGGCCCGTGCCTACACAAGATAAAGAATGGCCGCCCCATGGGGTTGCATACTTGCACCTGTCTCACTGCCGCCCGTCTCTCACTCACCGGCTAATCTGGTTAAATTCCTGAAAGGCAAATCGCTTCTTCTGAAAATACGTCAATGACCCCCCGCTTAGCTTATGAAGTGAAGTTCAAAAACCTAAATTTCACCCATTCCCTTTTCCATGGCAGCTCTTCAAGCATCCTGTGCTCTGTCTAACCACATGAAAGGACAAGATCCACCCCCCAAGATAATACACACTTTTTAACTTCAGAGTCATGGAATGTTCTCCGTGAGTTAGGGAAACATCACTCTTCCTTCCTGACTCGGCTGGAAAGCCACCTTTTTGGTGGAGCTGCCTTACTTCTCCTCTTCTCAGCCTCCTATTCCTCACCACGACCCCACTCACTGTGTCTTCTATGAATTTTATCTGTGATCAGCATGAGTGTCTCGCCACCAGATCATACAGTGCTTGAGAACAGACACTGTCTCCTACTATCAATTCTGAATCTCCAGGAGACTCTGAATGGACTATTAACTAGCCTGAAAATAGTCTTAAATTTTTACTTTAAAAACGTGGTGAATTTTGGAAAAGAAAGCTTATGAAAAAACTCCCCCCAAAATACTTAGCAATTTTGTTTGCAGCATACCCAAACAGTGAGCTCCTTCAGCGCTCCCGTAGTCAATAGACTTTTTAAGGTGTCTGGAAGCTGTTATTCCAGCTGCACGCACCCCCACCCACCCTAAGAGGTCTGCGTCGACCACCACCCCCCCAAAACGGCGTTCCTTCCTTCTCCGTAAGCCAGTGCCGTCTATATAAGATCATTGCCTAAATTTATGCTGGCTGTTCTAGAGTACTAAATCAGTGATAAATCAAAATATCAGAAGTCTAAAAATGGAGAAAATGACTTTTATTTATAATTTGAGGATTTTACTTTTTTTTTTAAACTGAAGTCAACACAATATATGCCTGTTCTTTCTGTCCCTGAGACACATCAACAAAATAAGCAGGCTTTCAGGGGCGCCGGGGTGGCTCGGTAGGTTAAACGTTTGTCTGTCTTCTGCTCAGGTCATGATCTCGGGGTCCTGGGATCGAGCTCCATATGGGGTTCCCTGCTCCACGAGGAGCCTGCTTCTCCCTCTCCCTCTGCCGCTCCCCCCTGCTTGTGCTGGCTCACTCTCTGTCAACAAAATAAATAAAATCTTAAAAAAAAGAAAAGCAGCTATTTGGATAATTTGACCTTTATCCAAATAATTCAAATACTACTCATAGCTGTCTCAATTTTAGGTGAAGTTATGGGGAGGGGGGTATGGAGGAAATTATAAAAAGGGATGCTTTTCGTTCTGAATGAGCAAAGGATTTACTCAATTTTCAATTCAACCTATGGAGGAGACGAAATCTGGCAGTTGGTTTCAAATAGTGCTTTTCTTAGGCTCATTTTCTTCTAAAAATTACTTTAAGAGACTGGGATGTAAAACATTGAGAAGATAAATTAGCATGAATGTGCATATTTTTATATTATAGAAAAAGGTGCATTATTTATCCTTTAACTCAAAAACAAACCTGAAAAATAAATGGGTATCTTTTCATTTTTCTTCACTGAAGATACATCCTCTTACAGACTAGTTCCAGAGTCTGGAAATCATTATTGTTACTTTACTCAATGATTTCTTTTTTTTTTTTTAAGATTTTATTTATTTATTCGACAGACAAAGATCACAAGTAGGCAGAGAGGCAGTCAGAGAGAGAAGAGGGGGAAGCAGGCTCCCTGCTGAGCAGAGAGCCCGTCTAGGCGCTCGATCCCAGGACCCTAGGATCATGACCTGAGCTGAAGCCAGAGGCTTTAACCCACTGAACCACCCAGGTGCCCCTCAGTGATTTCTTATATTTCTCTCCCCTTGCTAATCCTGTTAAGTGGTAAACATGCTTATAATGTATAAAAATTAGAGACAAATTAACACTCTCTAGAAAATATTTATTGACACATTTTAATTTTCTTTCCATTTTCTGAGAAATGAACGTAATACACAAAATACAGTAAAATGCACTCTCCCCATTCAAATAAATATATTTTACTCTCGTAAAAAATTTAATCTGTGTGATTCACCACAGTATCTTAATCAGTGAAATAAAGCAAAGTATATCTCTAGTTAAATTGTCACTTATTTTAATGATTCTAATGGCATTTTTCTGGAGAAAAGGAACACTATTCTCTGCAGAATTATATTCAGACTTGTAGACTATTGCCTCTTGTTTGGAGAAGACAAAGGTGAACTGATTTTAAAAAGAATTGAGTGTCAGAAAGAGCCTTAGTTTGGGAGAAAGGTAACATCCAAGATTGTGCTGAATGAACTACATCATGTGTAAGCTTTCTTGTTAATACTTTCTAGAGACCAGACTACATTCTGAATTATAATGATTCCTATGCATCACACGGGCAATTTTTCAAAATTAGTGGTTAAGTATTTAAGTTAACAGTTATGTACGTAATATAAGCCCAAGATGGAATTTTAAAGCTCTATTAACAGGAAAGGTTAAAAATAATGGTGTTATACAGGACAATTTTATCCTTTTCACTCACACTTGTTATTCTTAACATTATAAGAACTGAAATCTACGGAATTTTACAGACTTAACACAGACTCTTATATACACATAGATCCCTGATCAGTTTAAGACAATGTGTTAATTTGCTCTTGTAAGTAATAAGAATATTTTAAGTAGCCAGAAAAAAAATAAAATCACATTTAGGTAGTCACCAATCTTCAGAGTTTACTTATGTATAATCTACCCACTCTCAAAAGAATATGTCACCAAATAATATAGTTCATTAATACTGCCTAATTTCCCATGTTAGAAGTTCATTGCTACTTGATATACTAGCAAGTTTATGGAAGTAAATAAAACTTTACTGTAGCCCCAAATCCACCATAGCTTAACTTGTTTACATGGCTTCAGAAATGTTGGTCAAACTATGCCAAAGTCTAAGCCTCAAAGCATAATTGTGTTCAGTAAAAATCTTATACAGGCTATAAAGTGGGTATTAGATCTGTCCTCAGCATTATAAAGGGCATCAACCATTGTCCGGGGTGACTTATAAAATGGAATTTTCCCTCTTTATTTTAAAGGGTAGAAAATTCTATGCTTAGTCATTCCTTTATGGCCACATTTTTATTTCTACACATTTCTGAAACAGATAAGTGTTTGCTCAAAAATTCACAAGTCCAATAAAATGAATTTGTGGTTTCCTTCTTGGACATTCTCTACAATTCCTCCATCTCAAAGTGTGTAGTAAAGCTGTTTGCCATCGATGTGTGTTCAAAGATCCTCGACAGGCTGGGTTTCAACAGTTCCACTGAGTGACATGACAGGTGCTGAGTCGTGTCATTCTTCAGAGACATCATCTGGTCTGTCCCAGGCTCCCTTCTATCATAATAAAGAGCCCAGAGCAGAGTAATGGTGAGAATCATGGCCAAGATTTGTGTCACGCCAATGGAGACACCCAGAAACCTTAGCACCTGTAGTTGTTTGGTTCCTCTCAAGAAGGAATACATTTTCTTCCCACAACCCTGTAAAAGAGATAACACAGTATTACTTTGGGGGCGTTACAGAGGGTCAAAACAATGAAAACAAACAATCTACATCAGTTAATGGAACCAAACAACTTGAATCATAAAAGTTTAACACAGTGACTCTCAATAGGGAACACCTCTGAGAAACCAGAGGGCAGATGGAGGTGAGCCTGCCCAGGGAATTCTGATGAGCTCAGTCCTTCTTCTGTCTTCCTCACAACCGGAAATTGAAAACCACTGGCCTAAAACATGACTAGAGCAGGGGTTGGTAAACTCCTTTTTTTGTAAAGGGTCAGATAGTCGATCTTTTAGTCTTTGCTGGCTGTATGGTTTCTATGGTAACTGCTCACCTCTGCCACTGTAACCAGAAAGCCACCACAGACAGTATGTAAATGAATGCGCATGGCAGCGTTCCAGCAAAACCTCATGAACAAAAAAAAAAAAAAAAAAAAAAAAAAGCAGTAGGCCAGATTTGGGGGACAGGCCATAGATTGCTGACCCCTGATAAAGAATAATCCAAATTTTCAAAAATAATGTTTCCTTACTATTGTTTGTGTTCACTGTTAGAGGATAGCTCATTTGGTCAGAGACTTTCCCCCAAGGATCAGGAATGTTTGCCCAGTCTACTACTGAAATATGCTGGTGGGCAGAAGTCCATCTCTTCCCTTTCCCCAACTCCACATGCACCCACTTCTGCCCAGTGCCTGCAGAAGTACACTGGGGTGGGGGTGGGGGGTTCTCGTATGACATCAAGTTCTAGTTCCACCAGATAAGGGTCTGAAAGAATCTTTAGCTCCCCTACACACTAAAAACACCTGACTTCATTTGCTTGTATTTAGTTTTATGTATAAAAGACTATGGAGTACCTGTGATAGGCAGAAGAGAATTCCAAAAGAAGAAAAGAGGGGGGGTAAAAAAAGAAGAACTATAACCAAGGATCATGGGATGGGTGGGGCAAAGGAAAGGCGGGAGAATGTGACTAACAATTGCCATAAGATATTTCTCCAGTGAACAAAGCCTGGGGAACATGCCATGTCTCCAACTGAATCCACAACAAAGAAATGATAATTCATTCTTCTAAAGTGAAGTTCATTCTAAATGAAGGTGAAAATCTAGGAAAGAATTTTAGAATGATAAATTTCAAGAAGTTTGAAGATTCTGAGATTTTACTCTATTTGGAAGCAAACAATTTCACTTGTCTCAGTTTCATGAACTTCTGGCAGAAGACAGAGACCAGAGACTTTATTACTCATAACAATAGCAACAGCCAGAGTATGTGGCAGTTCCTGGAGATCCGAGGACAACACAGAGACAGCCACATGATGCCTGCATACGCAGCAGGTTGTGTGATGGAGGAGAACCCTCAAGTTTTGGGAACCCTAATCTTTCACAGTAGGCAGTAAACATACTTGTCCTTTGCTTTGAAGAAAGACATTATCTTTCTCATACTACACAGTAAATAAATGCATCCTTTACTCTGGAGGGAGACACTATCTCTACCTTCAAGGCTGTTTTCTGTGCAAAAACCCTTGAAAAGAGGGGCACCTGAGTGCCTCAGTCGGTTAAGCATCTGATTCTTGAGTTTGGCTCAGGTCATGATCTCAGGGCCATGAGATCAAGTTCTGTGTCTGGTTCCAGGCTCAGCTGGAGTCTGCTGTCCCTCTCCCTTTGCTCCTCCCCCTGCTCATTCTCTTTCTCTCTCTCATATTAATTAATTAATTAATAGAATTTAAAAACCACCCTTGAAAAGATAGTCCAAAACAAACACATCCAGTGCTTCTATTCACAAGACATGCAGAAATGCTAGAGAATCATGGAAAATTATCTCCCAATAAGAAGAACTTGACTTTTCAAAACTTTTCTTCTGAGTTTGTGGTAACAGTGTCTCAGGCTGCTTACCCTACTGAGGCAACTACTTGAATAAAAAGAAATTAATAATAACTTTAAAAATTGCCTCCTTGTTTTCTTCTCCAGATTCCACAAAGAACTCAATTAAATCAAGGAAAGCAAGACTACTGAATCAGTTGTTAATTTGTGCATTATACTGGAGGAGAATGAATAACACACAATTCTTAGATTTCCAAAGACATTGATCAGTAACTTTACTCCAGTAAGTCATTATTCTCAAGAAACAAAAAATTGTGTAAAACTAGCCAAAGACATATTTCTAGACAGTTTCCTGGTTAATCATGTAACACAGATTAACAGCAAAAGATAAGCAAAGCATCATCAATTTTACCAAAAAGCAAAATTAAAATATTTAAAATTTAATACTAATTAACACTGGTTTAATAAAATCACTTTCTGGCCATTTTACTTTTTTACTATGCACACAAATATGCATGTACAGGCACATATACACATACACGCACAGACTTATTCTATGTGTCACAAAGAAAATTCACCAAAGTTCAAATCCTTTTCAAAGAGTTTCCTTCAGCTAAGCTCTCAGAGCCAACTCACTCTTATGTTTATGTGTAATTCTAACAAGCATCCTTGCATCTTACAGGATAGACTAAAAGTTAAGATCATGAACCACAGAGCCAGAATTCTGAATTTCAAATCCCTGCTCTCCTACTTATAAGTTATGTGACTTTGGGCAAGTTACTTACTCTCTCTGCTTCAGTTTTCCCATCTGAAAAAGATAATAATAGTGCCTACCTACTTGGGATAGTGGGAAAATTAAGTGAATAAATATACTTAATTCTTAGAGTGGGGTCAGTCCATGGTAAGAGTCCAGGGCTTGTCAGTTTTGATCTGATGCGTTGGCTACTCAGTATTCGTGGAACAGCCCTTGCTCCCAAGAGCCGTGGGGGCTAATGCTGTTTTTCAGGACAGTGAAGTCATGATCTAAAATGATTTTTTTTGTCACTCAGACATTAGATCACTACCTTCTCATGAAGCAGAGAGGGTCACATTAAAGTGAGTTAAACTGAAAAGGTTTAGCTTCAAACATTTGGAAAATTGATTTATATGGATACATTATTTAACCTCACTGCCAGTACCAGATCACCAGATCCATCTTTAGAAAAAAGAAATTGATACAAAATGGCTGTGGCTTATGTTTAGTTAATTCCTTACCTATAGTCTCAGTACTTAGAACAAAAATGGATGTTTAATAAGTAAATACACAGAAGAGACATATCAATAATCTTATAATAATTAAAATGAACTTGAGAATAAAATGTAAACCATCCAAGAAACACATACAGTGATGTTTCAATCCTGTGAAATGCTTTAAGTCAATTATCATTTGATTTTTACCTTTTCAGTAGTCACTGCTATTTAAATTTTACCTAGATAGTTCTTCTTTTTCTTTTGGGGCACAATGTTATGAATGAGGCAGCGCTATCATGATATATAGGTCTTCTTATTAGCATAAGATCTCCTACCCCTTTTGAATAATTCATTCTAACTTTAAAAAGCTATAGGAAAGGTAATGTTTCTTTTTCCAATCTGTGAGTAAAATCAAGCAGAGACTGATAACTACAGTCTATTGTGTTTCATATTTTGGCTTTGGGGAGAGTCTGTTCTAATTATATTTTAAACAACCACATTTATAAAAAAGGGATAGTAAATTATATCATCTGGGATGGTTTGGGAGATGAGATATACTAGTTAACACTGAATGTGCTAGAGTGGTAGGGGACTTTGGAAATTAATGAACTCAACTTTTTAACCTTTAAAAATATGGTTAAGAAGCACTTCCAGAACAACATCAGCAAAACTGGCAGAGAAAGGACCCTCAATAGTCTCTCTTCCATGTAAGCAATGAAAGAACTAACAAAATCAACATTTTTAGAACTTTGAAAATTAACCAAAGTTTGTACCAATCTGAGGAGCATTATTCAAGAAAAGTACCTAAGTCTCAGTCAGATAGGCAAGCTCTGTCACATTTTAATTAGCTCTCTCCTATCCCCTCTACTCAGCTTTGCAGTAGCCTTGAAAATCAACAGCCCGTAATTATGGTGAAAACCAGTGGCCTGGAAGCCAGAGGCAACAGAATAGGATTGGAGCCCCTTCCAAGCCCCATCCTCAGAGAATTGTCATTATGTGTCCTATCTTGAGATTCCCTGGAAGACCTCACTTGCAAGCTGTTTTTCTCTGAACCTGAGTTGGAGCGCCACCAGCCCAACAGCCTTTTCCCTGAGGGTGTTTGTCAAAAGTAACCAGAGGAACACTGAGGTTGCCTGAGGCAGCTCATAATAATTCCACACAAGGAGCTAGTCAAAAAGCTTAAAAAGAAAATCTGGGGGAATGAGAAGTCCCCAGAAGCCTTCACAAAGTTCTGGGATACTTGTGGGGATCTGCAAAGTTGCACACCTGAGTCAAGCGGTGCTGCTGCCCAGGGCTATGTCCATGCTAAGGAAAGACCTAAAGGCACTAAGATCTTACCTCTGGCTAAATATGAAGCTCTGTGCACCCTTGGCAGAGACTGGGAGGCTTACTGGTTCCAGGTAGCAACTGACCCCTACGTTAACTGAGCAGACTTCAGTGGCCACACATGACAAAGAATACAGAGTTCACAGAATTTGTTCAGGAAAGTTATTAAGGAACAAGAAAACAACAACCACAACAAACTCTAGGGTTATTATTTAAAAGGTCTAGTTCTCAACAATAACAAAAATTACAAGATGTACAAAAAAATAAATAAATAACAAGAAAGGATGGCTCATATACACACAGAAAGAACCTTCAAAGAAAAGGTACTTGTAATGAAAGGAATTCCCTGCCTCACGAGACCATCCTGTCCGCACTTGAAAACAATAATACTTCAACTTTTCCTTATTGGAACCTGTCTTCTTCTTTTTTTTTTTTTTCCATTTTTTAAAAGACTTTATTTATTTATTTGTCAGAGAGATCGAGCAGCAGGCAGAGAGCGAGAAGCAGACTCCTGCTGAGCAGGGAGCTCAATGCAGGACTCAATCCCAGGACTCTGGGATCATGACCTGAGCCTAAACCGACTGAGCCACCCAGGTGTCCCTGGAACCTGTCTT